TAAACGATTGTTCGGTACCCCAAAGACTAATATCTACTAAAACTAACTTAACTGCGGCAAGTTTCCACCCTAAATAAACTATAAGTTTGGTATACGGTGCCAGAGTAGTCGCTGTATGAGCAGTGACCAAATATTTGCTATTCTTTCGTTCTTTTAGATACACTCAACCCGTCGGGAAATGATCACCAGTTAGCTTATGATTTTACAACATCGAGTGCAATGGTATTAGATCAATATAGTTTCCATCACGTTTAACATTCCTATTTTCTAATAGCCTTCTTATTTCATCTATAAATAATTTATTTTGTTTTTCCATATTATTCAATGTACGACTTGACTGAATTACAACCCATAACCCAACAAGAATGAATATTAAAAATAAGTATAGTAAAAATCTAATTGCATCTCGTCTGAACTTAATAGTACGCTTGTCTTCCTGCGTCTTTTGAATTTCTTGAATTTCTGAAATCTCTGGCATTTCAGACATTTCCGGCATTACTTCTAATATGTTTTAGATGAAACCAAGTTATTAATATTTTGGGTAGTATATTGTTTGTAAATTGAAATTTTGGACCAATTTACGAAAGCAAAAGTAAGTAAAAGTACTGCCTTTATATATAATTGAAAATATGCGCATTCTTTGAACTTGCTTTTCAACGCAATTAATTAATTCAGTGGCTTATAATTACATTTTACTCTAGTCTTAGCACTGGAATTGTGCTTTACTTTGACAACAGAATGTATCACTACGAGAAAATGTCTATCGCACAATAATTGCAATTTTAAACTTGCCAAATACAGTGTTTTCTTCTATTCGGGGTAACAATAAAATACATGAGTGATTAAACTAACATTGTTCGGCATAATAGCATAAAGAGGCAGCAACACTTCGCGTTTTCAACAGCACGAAAAAGACTTGCGGCACGCATATTTTACTGCATTTTTGTATAACCTAAAATAGAAATAAAGCAAAAAGTAAATGGGGACGATTTCAAAAGTTTTTAAAAACGTCGCTGTACCAAGAATTAGTGTGACATTATTCGGAAAACTTATGCATGGGGGGCGAAATTTTTCGTTTCTCGCCCCCATAGTTAAGGCCCCATTAGCAAATCTTGCCCCCATCCCTACCCATGATTAACCGGCATCCGGAGTTGAAATATAATCTGTCACAGATGATTGCTTATCTTAAACTAAATACATAGTACTGGTGGCATTGTCGTTTATGTGATAAGATAGACAATAGACCCTTTATTTGGTACTTTCTTTTTTAAAATGCATCTCGATAGTGCTAAAAGTATCACTAATTTTAAGATAAAAGTAACCAAATTTAGTAACGATGTTACAATATGGAAGTTGAACAAAATTGGAGGTTTAACAATACAGGTGTGCAGCAGTATTGTTCATTTCTCATTACGCTTGGTTGTCTAAGTGGAACTAATGGAACTGAACTGGAATTACCTGTATGTTTGTTATTATCACAAATAAAATTACTTCAATGGCTTGACTATTGCGAAAAACTACAGAACATTTCGAACAATAATATAAAGCATATCTAGGACTACTTACATTATAACCAATAACCAAATATTCCTGAACAATGCCTAGTTTATGTACCACTCTAAATTTGGTTTAATCGTATATCGTTTAGCTATTCTTATATCATATCGTACATTTAGTTACAGTATTTTGTCGGTTGTATAGTACTATATACCATGTTAAATATAAGTATTATATTGTGTTCAACAAGCATGAAATGGTTCATGGGTTCTGCAAATGTTGATTCGATTTGCACAGCAGTGTGTAGCTAGTTTATCATACAGAAAAAGAAATCACCGTACGCATTTTGTTTATTGCTCTCATTCTATTTTTGTTTTATTTTTTTATAATCTTGTATAACTTAATGTTAGTATTATGTTTTATTTTAAGCTGTGGAAGAAAACATGACACACCGTGGGTGACAAGTTTCAAAATTCTATCACCCAAATTTACATTAAATACTTTCTTAACTAGTTTGATTCTATGATAAAAAAAATATAATAGTTTTCGGAAATCAACTAAGAGGTACCGCAAAGACACAAGGAGTTAAAGAATTGTCAAGTATCCACAAAGCTGACCAAAATTGTGTACAGTGATTAATGTATTTAGAGCTATTTCTGCCTGTGATTAACAAATTTAAAGGGCTTATCATAAGGTGTAAGGAAAGGAAATATAAATATAATCATCATATTACACAAATTATTTTACATATTCCTCCTGAGCAGAGATATAAATGAATACGTAATGTTTAGGTGTATTTCAAATATTGAAAAATAGAAAATGAGTTCTTTATTTTTAACGAGGAAAGTATTTCAGCCTCAATAGGTGGAAAGGTTCATTAATTGTTATCTTTCAAATATTTCGTGATAATTTATACCAGATGATTTGTAAAATCAAGCTTTATCTCAAGTTACTTCCAAGGAGACAACATCTCAGAAATCTAAATAATTAGTTATCCTTTAGAACTAACTCTGGAACCAGTTTCAGCATCTCCTCGACTTTGAAACTTAGACTTGTAACTTGTAAAGGTGTGTAGACGAAAAGCATTAGGAGTATCATCATTGCAATTAACAATAATTTGATAAACCTAACATCGTATAGGTTTTCCTGAGTCTTCCTCAAATCAGGTCTTTCAGTTTCATCGCTTGTCATTATGTTATGTGGATGTATTCTTAGTAATTTTTATTTTTATGGGGGAGACATTAAACCTTAATATTACCGTTTAGATCAGTTTCTGTATAAATTAATTGCTAAAGCCTTCATTAATATCCTACAATGTTGCGAATAATATCTCGATTAAATGGGGGAAGGATTTTTTGTGAATTCTCCGTATCACTCAAGTGGTAGTAAATGCTATGTTATGATATAAAAAAAACCGTTAGAGAAAATGGCAAAAGTTAGAACATGTCGATAGTGATGATTTGCTGTACCATAGAGTAAACAAAAGTGGAATTAATGGAAAGAAAGTAGAGTGAGTTTTACAGAAGAGAACAGAAATGAGCTACAACACACAAGAAACTAGAAATTCCACCACCATTATATACTTCTAAGGAAATGTATATGTGAAAATGATATATAATTCATAAGAAGTGCTATACCTTAATCTAAAAATAATAATTATGGATGAACCTATAAATATTACATACAAATATTAAGCTACTAATTCAAAGCAAATACCAAGGCTTCTACTAAAAATTATGATATTGAAGATGTTAAAACTGGTACACTTCTGCTTACTCGGCATTGGGTTTATATATAAAAAAATTAATACTGTTAATATTTTATAGAAAATAAGTATTTAGGCTACGCATTAACTGAAAATATAGAAGGTTGTCTGTTCCTAAGGAAAGACAATACTCTTCATATTAGAATCTTCCATAAAGTCCCACACATGCGCCTAACAGGGCAAAGTTCTCAATATAAAATGGTGAGCACAATTATGCAAGAATCCTTTCTTCCATCATTTGTGATAAGGTAACGATATCTGCGGAGAACTTCCTGATACCCTCACTAAACTTTTCAGTGGCCATGGCATCTTCATTCATATCGAACATGAATTGCGATTTGTTCCCGATGTACGATTTCTTTTCGTCACCTTTCTCCATGGCACCCTCGACGGTCAACCTTCTGGTAATTGACTCTTGGCTATTTAGTAGCCCTTCCAGTAATTTTGGAGGAATGGTCAAGTAGTCCACGCCTGCTAACGCCTTGACTTCATCTATGTTCCGTAGTGATGCTCCCATAACAATAGTCTTGTAGTCGTGCTTTATATAATAGTTGAATATTCTTTCTACTAAAAGAACACCAGGATCTGATTCTCCGCTGTAATTTCCCCCAGTACGTGCGACGTACCAATCCCTAATTCTGCCGTTGAAAGGTGATATTATAGTAACATTGGCTTCAGCACTCGCAACTGCCTGGGGGAAAGAAAATAACAAAGTTAAATTACAATGAATGCTGTATTGTGATTCTAGAACCTTCGCAGCTTGGATACCCTCCCAGGTAGAAGCAATTTTAATTAACACTCTTTCCTTCGAGACACCAGCATCCTCATAATATTTAACAATCTTTTGAGCTCTTTCAATAGTGGCCTGCGTATCAAAAGAGAGTCTTGCATCAACTTCAGTTGAAACTCTCCCAGGTACGATTTTCAGGATTTCTTTACCAAATTCGACGAGCAGACGGTCAACCGCATTTTCTACTTTTTCCTCGATAGTCTTACCGTGTTGCTTCGCAAATTCTACTGCTGTATTGATTAACTTGGAGTAGGTAGGAATTCTGCTGGCAGCCAAAATTAGAGAAGGATTAGTGGTAGCATCTTGAGGGTTATACTTGATTATAGAGTCAAAATCACCGGTGTCTGCAACAACAACGGTACCAGAGACTCTCAATTGGTATAACGAGTTATTGGTTGTCATGTTAATTTATAAAGTAATAGTATGTTTGTTTTTAAGTAGTTGAACTTGGTCTCTTCTTATCTGAACAGCTTTAGCAGATCTCATATCAATATGAGCCAGTAGCTATTTATACTTGTCTAATTGAGACATGGTACCTGATAATATGCTCATGATTAATAAGGATTAGCCGGTTGAATAACTCTGTGAGTCAAATACCGGTGTTATGCACGGATACGGAATCTGAGGTACCGTCCCCACCATGGTAGCAACATCCGTCTTCTCTTATGAAGGTATCAGGACTAGGCGACAGTTGTTAGGTGATATGCTCCATCCGATGTCCAAAGCAATAAATGAGTCCTTCTTACATAATACACTATATTCCCTGTAGTCAACAAGCTTCCAGAAATAGCTTCTGCCTGCATGATGATCGAGATGTGATTGCTCGCTTTGCGCTGTGAGCAAATTTGACAAAGCTGTGCATCCTCCGCGATGAGACGGCAGCTCCGTTCTTAGTTTCTATAAAAGTCTATTACTAAGACACATTTAGCTATTTTCCAAGACTGAAAAGCTGGGTTAATATTTTCGTAGAGACCACCAGCAGTTTGAACTTGATATATAAACGTGAGGCTATTCCACTAAACTGTCAAAACTATCATCATGTTTCTCTATATCTAGCACAACAGAACCAAATATCCAAGAGATATACATCCCTTTTCACTTATACATTACAAATTTAAAACAAACATGCTACATTATCCTGAAAGCTTTGATGGTATTGGTGTTGTTGACCAAGCCGATTGGAAACACCCAAAGAGAGTTGTTTTCCAGCCAAAGAAGTTTGACGACTATGACATCGACGTGAAGATTGAGTGCTGTGGTGTCTGTGGTTCTGACATTCATACAGCATCTGGTCACTGGGGTGACATTCCAAAACCAGTTGTTGTGGGTCATGAAATTATTGGTACAGTAGTCAGAAAGGGTCCAAAATGTGGCCCTGAAATTGAAATAGGTGATCGTGTCGGAGTTGGTGCTCAATGTTATTCGTGTCTAACATGTGACCGTTGTAAGCACAACAACGAACCATATTGTGAAAACCTGGTTCTAACATATGGTTACTCATATGCAGATGGGTACAATTCCAAAGGTGGTTACGCTTCCCACGTCAGGGTCCATGAACATTTCGTCGTTCCAATTCCTGAAAACATCCCATCTGAGCTGGCAGGCCCATTACTATGTGGTGGTATCACCGTTTTCAGTCCATTGATCCGCAACGGTTGTGGTCCAGGTAAGAAAGTCGGTATCCTAGGTATTGGTGGGATCGGACACATGGGATTGATATTTGCTAAAGCACTAGGTGCTGAGGTTTATGCCATCTCCCGTACTTCGAGTAAAAAAGAGGACGCGTTTAAATTAGGCGCTGACCATTTCATTGCCACAAAGGAAGAACCAGATTGGGCAGAAAAGTATTACGACACTTTAGATTTAGTTGTGGTTTGTGCAGGTTCTTTAAAGGATGTCGATTTTGAACGTTTGCCTAAAATCATGCAAGTCGGTGGTAGGATTGTATCCATTTCCGTCCCTGAAAAAACTGAACAAATAGTGTTAAAGCCATTTGGTCTGATGGGTGTATCTATTTCCAACAGTCATCTGGGTTCTCTTAAGGAAATCAAACAATTACTGAAACTTGTGTCGGAGAAGAACCTTAAGATTTGGATCGAAACTGTCCCTATCAGCGAAGCAAACGTCAACAAAGTGTTCGAAAGAATGGAAAAGGGTGATGTAAGATACAGGTTTGTACTTACTGACTACGATAAGGAATTTAACTAGAATTATATAAATATCATAAATAGTCAATTTAAAGTATACCAAAAATAATAAACACAATTTTATTACATTCAGTCGAAGCTGGGTAGTAAGATACGTTATTAAGAGACTGTAAGAGAATGACGAATTGCATGCCTGGTTTATATTCCCTGTACTTTCAAAAGAATCCCTACAAACACTATTCTTTGGTTTCAGTATCAGATCAAAGCGGGCCTATAAGGAATCCCAAACAACTACTGAATTCTCTAATTAAAAAAATTTATTCATTAAATGATACGTATTTTATAAAGATGAACGTAATTAAACTTTTCTAATTTCAAACCTCGTATCTCTGCGATTACAACTTGATTCTGACAGCTTTGATCTCTGTGTAGTTATCGTAAACTTCAGAACCCATCTCTCTGCCGTAACCAGATTGCTTGACACCGCCAAATGGAACTCTGGAATCAAAGTCATTGTATGTGTTGATCCAAACGGTACCAGATTGTAACATCTTGGCCACCTTTAATGCAGTGCTCAAGTTTTCAGTTTCAATACCGGCTCCAAGGCCAAACTCCGAGTCGTTGGCCATCGCAACACCGTCTTCGATGTTCTTGAATTTCGAAATTACAACAACCGGGCCAAAAATTTCTTCCTTTACGATTCTCATGTCTTGCTTTACATCATAAAATATGGTTGGTCTGATGAAGAACCCTCTGTTACCCACTCTGGTACCACCAGTCAATATTTTGGCACCCTCTTCCTTACCAATCTCGATATATTTTATGATGGTTTCGAATTGATCCTTGTTAGAAATAGCACCTTGGAAGTTGGACTCGTCAAATGGATTTCCAACTTTAATCTTTTCTGTTACTTCCTTGAATGCAGCCATCACCTTGTCGTAGATACCTTCTTGGATATAAATTCTAGAACCAGCAGAACACATTTGACCAGAATTTCTAAAGATACCGTTAATCAGATTTGGAATGGTCTTTTCGAGGTTAACATCGTCAAACACCATATGGGCAGATTTACCACCCAATTCTAGTGTGATTTTCTTTAAGTTTGTAGTCGATGAATTAACCGCAATACCCTTACCAACATCGGTGGAACCGGTGAAGGCAAGTTTTCTGATTTTTGGATGTTCAGTAATGGCATTACCAACCTCTCTACCAGAACCTGGAATGATGTTGACAACACCTGCTGGAACACCTGCTTGCTTACACAAGTTGGCGAAAAATAAAGCAGTTAAAGGAGTAGCAGATGCTGGTTTCAGTATGGAAACGTTACCCATTGCCAAAGCTGGAGCAATCTTCCAGGCTAGCATCATAGTAGGGAAATTCCACGGGATGATTTGACCACAAACACCAATTGCTTGCTTGATGGTGAAATTCATATATCCATCGCCAGAGTCGATAGTTCTGCCGTTGACTTTATCGGCATATGAAGCAGCGTCTCTTAAACAGTCAACCATTAGCCCAATATCACCTCTGGACAAGGCTACAGATTTACCGTTATCCACAGTTTCAATTGATGCCATCAATTCGACATTCTCTTCCACTAAATCGGCCAATTTACGCAAAATTCTAGATCTTTCCTTTGGATCCTGAGTGGCCCAATTAGTCTTGGTGAAAGCATGCTCAGCAGATTTGACAGCATACTCAACATCATCCCTTGACCCTGAAGAGACAGAAGTGATGACTTCTTCGGTGGCCGGATTTGTAACTTCGACAGTCTTACCGGTCGAGGCTTGAATGAATTCATTGTTGATGAATAAACCAGTTGGTTGTTGATAAGTCAAGCCATTTGGTAAAGTAATAGTAACCGATTCAGCTTGTTGATGATTGGAAGCGGACATGATTAAATTTTATTTGTTTTTGTTTGTTTGTTTGTTGTTATAGATGTATTCAGGGGATTGAATGGTCTCTTATGAAAGAATATAATAATCTAAACTTGAACAATCACAAATAACAACAACAGGAATAAAGACACCTGTTTATATATGATTAACAAGATGGTAAATTTTACCTGGTAATGCTAATTCATTTGTAAACGTTGTTAGCTCGACTCATAGATAAGGTAAGGAGCAAATTAGTAAGAAACAGACATTAGGAAACGTAAATCGGTCTAATGGATTGAATAACAGTTACAGTAAAATGTAACAATAAAAAGGTAATCAAAAATAGTAAGTTCTAATTTGTATTGTGGAGTGTTACATAATTACTTGTTCGATTATAGCATGATGAAGTGCAGATCAAAAAACAGTATTCAAAGTAACGGAGTGATTAATTCAGGGTTGTAAGTCTACGATAAATTTGAATCCGATATTCATATGGAGTCGGTCTCTAAAGTACTGTACTGGTCCTGTAGTATGTTACCTGTTGCAATTCTTGAAGTAAAGAACAGTTTCACTGAGAACGAAGCTTTCCCTAAGAATTTGTTATTTCTTCCAATACCCATTTTTGCTCATCGGCGAGCAAAATGGAATGCCCCGCAAATTTTGCTCTGTCAAGACGGAACGGAAGTTAAGCAACCGTCTATTGTCCAGTATCCGTTTCGTTTACGCTGCCCCTACTATTTGTAATACAATATAAACGTCTTTGATTGAACCACATAAGGCAAAAAATGAATTTACAAAATATTTATTGTGAAATAATGAAATTCAGAAGGTTTATTCATGAATAAATAGCATTATATAGTTATAAGAAAAGTTCATGTATATGTATACATATATATAACGCTATATTGGACAGCACTTTAACCTCTCAATGGTTGTCCTTCAATAAATACACAATTGAAATGGTGAATAATAGCGTTATCGACATCCCAAATTCCTTCCTTGTAAAAGATATCTTGTTTTAATAACTTGATGGCATCCTCTCTAGTTCCAGTTTTTGTAGTTAGACTCGAGCAAATCGCCTTTCTTGGGTTACTGTCGTCATTAATCTGGCCCCAAAAAACAACCAGACCCAGATCAATAATCGCAGACAGAGCTTTGACATGTTTATCATATGCTTCTGTTCTGTCAATCCCCTGGGGGACAGATAGCATACTTTTAAAAATATCAACATATCTAGAAGCGGGATCGTCATTTTAAATTCCTCATCAAAGTAATCTAATGTATGTTTAATATTTGGAATTATACTAAAAGAGAATACTCTGATAAATTCTATACTATACATTACAAAAACAAGATCAGACGCAAATCCATCCATAGTACACTGCTTGTATGTCTTTGGAAATTTTGAGGTCTCGGAAGCATAAACTCATTACCATGATATAATTCTTGAACAGTATTGTATAATTGTTTCACAACCGATTTAGCTTGTACCACATAGTAGGCCCTATTATTTTGAAAACCCAATAACATATCTCTGTCTTGTTCAGATAGTTTAAAACTATTAATACTTAGATTTTCTTCAAAAAAATTAGTAATATGTTTTGGAATAACAATTCTATTAAATTTTGGCACCTGAATGAATCCATCACACAATGTATCACGATAAACTAAATATTTTCTGTGATTTTTTTTTCTAATGGGACTGGCATCAAATGCAACAACCTCTTGTTCATTTTTCGAATTAACTAACCTTGTTGGAACCTAGTCGTAACCAGACGGTGTATTTCTAAAATATGCTTTAACATGTTTTATTTTTTGAAATAATTTTTTAGAAGGGCATGGAATGATACTAATGTTTTTATATTTTTCAAATAATCCGTACATGCTCATAGCTTTGTATTTAGTTGCTATTGGTGTTTTGACACCATTTGGTAAACTATTAATTCGATCTGGTTAACGAACGCATGCCTTGTCCTAATATGTGGCAGATAAACAAAAACAACCATCAATTAATTGAAAATTAGCTAACTTTTCTACAGGCATCGTGATAGTATTTAGTGGCGGTATATTATGGCTCAAAGAGACTAAGTTTCAACTGGGAATTAAACTAAAGTTCTTTCTTTTTATTATAAACAGAACGCAAAGATATGTTTTGGATCGCATAATTACACGAGGGAAAGTAATTAATAGCACATTCCTCAATACATGACATATTACGATAATAGGAACACAAAAAAGGCCTTTCTTAGTAAATGTAAGACCCATTGGGGCAACAGAATTAGTCGAGATGACCAGGTCTTTTCAATTAGCGTAGCTGATCTATTTCGGAAATGGATTTACACGAAATGCTTGATGTAAATCCAAAAATTGAATCTTTACTTATGTGAGCTCATTGGAAAAATCTAAAAACAAAAATACAAAGAAATGCCGCACAAGTGCCCCTCTCCTAGTCACAGACATAGCCACGTCATTATTGTCTTTAGGAGGTGGGCATAGGAGAGCATATCATTTTCTACAACCAACAAATCAACCTTCAAAAGTGCAACATTGACACTTCAAGAATGCCTCTTTGGTGAAAATTGCAACTTAGCAAAAACATTTATCTGGCTGCATTAACCCGTTGCGCAGCTCGACGCATCCAGGAGAAAAGAAGTGGCAACCACTGGATAAAGAAAGGTACATGTATTGGTTCCATAGGTGCACAAGTACTAAATGTCGATATCATAAGTCATGAAGTATTATTTCATATTTACCATCATACTCGCAATCTGTCATGCTTTACAGGATGATAATATAAAATTGGGTGCGCACACAGATATGTTTCAAACAACCAATAGAACATTTGAATTAAATACTGACGGCGCAGATATGAATTTAAAATTATTGCAATTGGTGTCGAGCATTTGTGGATTAATATCATCTATATATCATTTATTTACGGATGGTGAAATAACTCGCAAAATTACCCCCGTTAGGACAAGCACAAACATTCACAATATTACACTCAATGGTACCCAATGGGAATATGCATGGTCTTCACAGTCGATGTGTGTAACGTATGACAGTTTTGCAGTTGATGAAGCCATGCAAACTATATTGAATTTCTGTATTGATGAATATAGTTACAACATTACTCTCGCAATGTGTATCATTATTGATCTACCTGATATTTGTTCATATGAGATAAGATTACAAAGAAAGACAGATATTGCATTGAAAATACGAAAACCGTTTGAAAATATATGGAATATAAGGTGTAATGGATATGGTAATCAACATATAACATATGTAGGTGGATTATGCTACCCTAGTGACAGCAACTAAAATGAACATTTTTTATATGTTTCGCTTTTCATTTTCAATGATCTATGCGTTGCTGCCATTTCATATATACATCACAATATTATTAAATGTTTTCAGTATTCATATTGCTAATAAAACTTCAGTAATATCAAAAAACATTCTATAATTCTTTAAAAAGACTTAAATTGTTTTACTCTTAAATCTATGTAGAAAATACATAAATGCGGTGAAAACATCTATCCATGTCTGGATCATACTTATTCTCTTTATATACTAAATTGTAATTCACTCATGACTATACTCTTCTCATCTTTTCGGGTGTGCATGTCAGTAATCTCTTATTTTTTCTTTGTCATTATAACATAGGTGCAACACTTTCTAATACTGATGTAGTGCACTATAGTTACATTTCTAATAATTTCAAATATTATATAGCCATTCCCAACTGTAACATATAGACATAGTTCTGATCCATGGCGGGACGGAATACATGTATTTGCAAAAATTGTGTCAAGTATGGACATTCTAGGAATCAGGGACCAGCAGGAGTTGGCACTTGGAAACCTCTTAATATGACCCAAAAGCTGTCGCTATAAACAAAAGAAAAACGAAAAGAATGGCTTTTGGAGTTGGTTTCAGGTTGGTCCCTGAATTTTTTACATAATATTGTCCGTATTTTCTTCCACAGTTCCAATAATCGTGAGGTGTCGCATCGTTACTCTTTTCCAGATTAATTGCACCCATGCCTGCACATGGTAAATACGTACTATTTGGTGAAGGACCACTAACCCATTTCATTATGTTTGATTTTATTTGATTTTAATATTTGTTGTACTCTTTAGAATTATGACATGAAAAATAGAACTAATAGGAAAATTTCAAATCAACGTTTGAATTTTGGTCTGTTTATATACAAATTAGAAAATGCTTATTTCTCTCTCTTTTTGCGCATTTGTTATATGTGAATTGTTCACACATACGTTCAATAATCTAGCCAGGGGAGTAAAATTTGGAGTTCAGCCAACTTAGTGTAGAAAACGTTGTGCAGAATATTATGCGGTGCATACATCTTGGTGACGTCAGACTAATTGTAATCCAGGTTGCCCACGATCACACTGCTTCTAAAAATAACAGAGTTGTGCCCCCTCCTGTTATTAATAGCACATTCGTGAAGTTACCAGTTTCAGTAATTGTTTAGCATCAAATATATAAAAGTGAGGATCTAGTACCAACTAGGAGTGTCATCTCATCCCGCAGAAACTGCTAGTGACTGCATCGTCCTTCGAGATATGCATATGTGTGGGTTTACTTTTAAAGATATGCTACATAGTTAAGGGCCCTTTTGGAAATCCTCCTCTCATCCTCCCCCTCTCTACGGTCAGGAGAGGGGCGAAAGCACTACTATTGGAAACGTCTCGAAGCTTTTCCGATTTTCTCGAAATAGACGTTTTTAGAAGTTCGGAATATGTACATGCGTCTTATTGGAAGCACGTATTGCAGAAGAAACCACTACAGTTCAATCTTTTAGATAAACCCAGCCTTTCGCAAAATGAACACCGGTTAGCTTATGATTTTACAACATCGAGCGCAATGGTATTAGATCAATATTGTCCCTGTCACGTTTAACATCCCTATTTTCTAATATCCTTCTCATTGCATCTATAAATAATTTGTTTTTTTTTTCCATATTAATCAACGTGCGACTTGACCTAAATACAATCCATAACCCAACAAGAATGAATATTAAAAACAAGTAGAGTGTAAATATAATTGCGTCTCGTCTGAACCTAATAGTATACTAGTCGCCCTGCACCTTGGTATTTCTTGAATTCCGACATTTTGAGTATTCCTGGCATTGTTTCTAATACGTTTTAGATGATACAGAGTTCTTAATATTTTGAGTTATATATTGTTTGTAAATTGGAGTTTTGGGCTAATTTACCAAACCAAAACAGTGCGAAAATGCTGTGAGAGTTTCGTCTTTTGCTACATTCGATTGGATGATCATATGTGTAGTTAACTTTACCGTATCGGTGATTACTACCCTTGAAAAAAGCAGAAAAGTCAAAACAAAGGGACATCATATGTTGTGCTTTTGATAACCTATGTTTTCGATAACCTATTCTGTAAATCACATACTATTCTCTGAATTTTTCAAATCCCTAGGTAGTGTGGAGCTGTATTCTTCTTTGAAATTCAACATATGTATATATATGTCGCAACGTCCCGAGCATTAAAAAATAATGATAAAGGCGTAGACAAATTTTAAATAATATAGAAAATACAAAGGTACAAAACAAAAAAACAAACACATAAGAACATTCACTTCTTCCGGTAATTGTAAAACAAGGCACCGATTAAGAGACAGAACTTCCTCTTCTGGGTATAAGCTTCCGCTTCGGTTCTCATCAATCTCAACCAGTGGCTATAATTGCCGACTGGTGGGATGAAGGAACACTCCTTTCGCAAGTAACCCATAAATGA